ATCCAAGGTAATCGTGGTCCTAGTAGAAGAAGAACATCATGGCTGAAAAATCTAAGGCATTGGTATGGAAAATCAACTACATCGTTTTTTAGAGCTGCTGTCAATAAAGTCACGATAGCGAATATGGTAGCCAACATGATATCCAACGATAGATAACGGTCATGGAACTAGAAGAAGAAGAAGATGATGAAGAAGGGACGTGCGAGGATATACCTTTGAATACAGTCAAAGAAATAATAAGAGACCTAAAAAATAACAAAAGTGCAGGAGGAACTGGTATTTAAGTTGAGATTTTTAAAGAAGGTGGGGAAAGATTCAAGGAATATTTCACTTGACACTAATAATTTGGTAAAAGAAAAAAATCCGAAACAATGGAATACCGCTCTTATTTGTCCTATCTCTAAAAAATTAGACAAAATGGAGTGCAAAAACTATAGAGGTATAGTACTATTAGAAGTAGTCTATAAAATGCAAAAATTATTAGGAAAAGATTAATAAAATATGACAACAAAGTGAATGGAGAATACCAGGGAGGTTTTAGACCAGGAAGAACAACTACTGATCAAATAAGTATGTTAAAATTAATACAAAATAATAGCTACGAACAAAACTTAGGATTACATATGCAATAATGATGCTATATGAAGTGCTATGATGCGATAATTATTTCTAGTCCCCACTTTCTATATTCTTCTTGTAATTTCCTTGCCATGTACTCCAGATCATTTTTATCGTTTGCTATAATAACCTGGTCATCAGCAAACTGCATTGTATAAAAGCAAATCTCTCTAAGGTCTACGCCCATACCTCTGCATTTTCGTTTCCACTCTTTCAATGCTAATGCAACTTATATTTTAAACAAGGTCGGCGATACACAACACCCCTGATGTAGCAGGGGTATTACCAGAAAGGCTTTATTATTTAACCAGGAAGCTTTGCGATAGTCTGTTTTCATTTTTTATTTGTGATGTTGACCCTTCATACAAATTTCGTAAGGCTTTTATTAAGTTGACACTAATATTCGTCTGTCATAACACGTTCCAGAGTTTGTTTACAGAAACTGTATCGTACGCCTTCTGCAAGTCAATAAACATGAGGTGGGTTTCTTGATTTGTGCTTATTTTTTTTTCTATGAGTTGTTTGGGGCATAAGATATTATCAGTACAGCTTCTTCCTGTTAGAAAACCGGATTATTCTTCTTCTTCTTCTGCCTCTTCTTCAAACGGCTGAATGTACTAGTGACTGATATCCCTCTATAGTTTTCACAATTAAGCTTATCTACTTTCTTATGGATCGACGAAATGTAAGCAATTTTCCACTCGTCGGGTACGGGAGAACCATTTATAAATTGATTTATGCACCAAGTGACGTTTTCAAACAATTTTTGTGATCCATATTTTATTAGTTCGGCTGGGATATCCCCTGGTTCTGGAGACCTACTGTTTTTTAGTTCTTCTATAGCTTTTCTAATTTCTGTCACTTGTATTGTTATATCTTCTTCAATATTAACCTCTGTTGGTGATTGAGTATTGTATTGTAAGTATATTGTAAGTATTGGTATTCGTCCATATTTTCTGTCGGTAGTTCCCCATAGTACTTTTCCCATTTTTGTGTGGATATTAATTGAATTAATCTCAATATCCAACAAAACGTTAATAGAAAATGACTTGAACAATGGGCTAAAGAAATCAATAAATGAAAACAACAAAGAAATATGGAACACATTTGAAGATCTTACCTTGAAAGTAATAGAAAAATATTCAACAACGTTACACATTCACAAAAAACAACAATGGATGACTGATGAAATACTGGAATTAATGGAGCAGTGAAGAAAACTGAAAGGTAACAAGACAGAATATAAGGAAAAACAGAAACCAATTAAACAAAAAATAAACGTGGCTAAAGAAAAATGGATGGAGGATAAATGCAAGGAATTAGAAAAGTTGAATGAAAAACATGATACGTTTAATATGTTTAAAAAAGTTAGAGAAGTAGCTGGTCTTTATCATAAGAAAAACTCCACATACTATAACCGATTCGTCGGGAAAAATGATAATAGACGAACATGAAATTCGAAAAACCTAGTGTAATTATATAAGTGAACTGTATAATGATGATAGACCCGAAGAACCGGAGACTTTAGTTGAAGGTGAAGGACCAGAAATACTAAAATCAGAAATACCGCATGCTATAAAGTTAGCAAAGAACAAGAAAGCCGGTGGCCCTGATAACATACCGACAGAGATGTTAAAGCTTATAAATGATGAGAACATTGGAATACTGGTCAAACTTTTCAATGATGCTTATTCGACTGGTGATATCCCTGAAGATTGGTTAAAGTCCGAATTCATAACACTACCAAAAAAACAACGTCCGAAAAACTGTAGCGATTAAAGAATGATAAGCCTTATGAGCCACTGAAAATATTTCTACGCATCATCCACAGTAGAATCAGAGATAAATGTGAAGAAGATCCGGATGAAACACAATTTGGCTTCAGAAATGGACTGGGAACTCGGGACGCCCTCTTTGCACCAAATATATTACTGCAGAAATGTCGAGATCAAAGGAAAGACGTCTTTGCTGTATGTATTGACTATGAAAAGGCCTTTGATCGAGTACAGCATCACAAATTAATTACAATATTAAAAGATAAAGGAGTTGATAGTCAAGATATACGATTCATAGAAAAGTTATGCTGGCGTCAAACAGCGACAGCTTGTATAAACGGAAAATCAACAGAAATATGTAAAATACAAAGAGGTGTCAGACAGAGTTGTATACTATCCCCACTGTTATTTAATTTATATTCAGATAGAATATTTAAAGAAGCGCTGCATAATTTGGAATGGGGCGTGAAATTTAATGGAATTCTGATAAATACAATCAGATATGCAGACGATACAGTTATTTTAAGTGATGACATGAATGGATTGCAATGCCTTTTAAATGCCATTGATACAGTGGGAAGAGAGTTTGGCCTAAACATAAACTGTTCAAAAACAAAACACATGGTGTTTAGCCGTTTAGCACATCAAGATGCACGATTATATGTTGATGGTCATTTAATTCAAAGAGTGTCCAGTTTTAAATATCTTGGTTGCCATATTACTGAACAACTAGGTCATTCTTCTGTAATGCTAACTTGAAACTTCAACTTCGAAAGGGTATGGTTAAATGCTACATTTGGTCAGTCCTCTTATACGGTGTCGAAGCATGGACATTAAAAATATCCACCAATAATTGTCTGGAGGCCTTTGAAATGTGGCTGCACAGACGTATACTAAAAATTCCATGGACGGCTATGCTGACAAATGTGGCAGTCCTTGAAAGAGCAAATGCTGCTCGCGAGCTGCTTGATAACATCAAATGTAGAAAGATGGCCTATTTTGGACACGTAGTGGAAATCGATTCTTAAAGTTATTATGATGGGTAAAATCGAAAGACGCAGAGGAATTGGTAGAAAGCAGGCCTATTGGTTAAAGAATATCAGAGAGTGGACAGGAATAAAGAAAGCTGAGCAACTCTTTAGAATAGCTCGAGACAGAGACAGTTTCGCCATGTTAATCGCCAACGTCAAAGGAACTTGATAGGCACGTTAAGAAGAAGAAGATTAATTGAATTGTTTATGTTTATGTTTATGTTCTTCCTTTCGTTAGTTCTTATTTTACTGAGGAACTTCTATGTTTCTGTACATTTTCTGCCTACCAGATAGGTATTAATTTCGTGGCACTTCTTATCCCACATTTCTCTTTTTGCTTTTACTGTTGTTCTTCTTGTTATTCTATTGAGTTCCAGGTATATAATTTATACCAATCCCAAAAAAGCCCAACGCTAATAGAACGACCTTAAAATCATAAAGAACCTTTATATGAATCAAGTGGCATCTGTGAGAGTAGAACTGGAATCTACATCATATTTCTCCATTGAAAAAGGTGTACAACAGGGTTGTGTTCTGTCACCTCTCCTTTTTAATCTTTACTCTGAAACGATTGTTGATAGAGCCTTAAGTGAGACTGAAGATGGAATCAAAATCAACGGACAGACTATTAGTAATCTTCTCTATGCTGATGATACAGTCATAATAGCTGATAGCCAAGAAGCGCTACAACAACTAATAGATAGAATAAACATTAAAGGAGAACGACTGGGCTTGAAGATTAATATAGACAAGACGAAGGTAATGGTGGTTAGTAGAACACGAAATATGCAGGTAAATATAAGAGTAAACAATACGAACATCCTAAAGGTCCCCAAGTTCAGATATCTCGGTAGTTGGATAACTGAAGATCTAAATTTAGACATAGATACGTAGCAGAATTGAGCAAGCCGGAACAGCATTTACTAACATGAGAACATTGCTAACCAACAGCAGCCCTAACTTAACGCTTCGATATTGCTTTGTAGGATGTTACATTTACTCCATCCTGCTATATGGTGTAGAAACTTGGACCATAAAGGCCAATGTGATAAACCGATTGGAGGCCATTGAAACGTGGGTATTTAGAAGACTACTTCTTTCTAAATTACCTAGACAGATCACACAACAAATCGAACAGGCATAGAACGAGAATTGCTGCTAATAATAAAAAGAAGAAATACTGCTTATCTGGGTCATATATTTCTAAATTACAAGTACCAGTTCTTTAAGCTTATTGTGAAAGGAAAGACAGAAGGAAAACGGGCCGACGGAAGAAAGAAATACTTATGGCTTAAAAACATAAGGGATTGGATAAACCTCGATGCCCATGCACTTTAGAGCCACACAAGATCGCGAGGAGTATGCCAGAATTGTCTCCAAAACCCACCAATTGGATAGGGCACCATAAGAAGAAGAACGATTTTTTTGTTGGCACTGTATATATAAAACAAAATAAGTATTGCTATAAATCAATAATTACATCTGAATTTAAAAAATCTAAAGTTATGATTCACATGAATATCAAAAAATTATCTCACTAGAATTTCTTTAATATAGTTACTACAAATAAACTCACCTTAAATCTATTTTTGCCCACAGGAGGCGCCGCGTACGGAATTTCTTGGAACGCGAAAAAGTCCTTGCCATCTTGGCTTTCTAAAACGTGGCCTCTAATTTGTCCTTCTGGTAATGTAACGAGCAACTGGTCGCAAAGAGGCTGTGAAACAAAAAGTACACAGTCAGTGTTTATTAGTAAAAATTTTTAAGGTAAAACTGAATATAAATTCTGTCGGAAATTAAAAGATAAAATTACAATATTAAAGATGGTAATTGTTAAAACATAAATAGTTAATTACAATAACGTATTTACAGTTATACGTAAGTGTTCATAAACAACTTGATTACTACCACTATTAAGAGTTTGAAGAGGTTCAAGAGGTCACCCAGGCGAAAAGTTATTAAAATTTTTTTTTAACAAATTTTTTAAGCAAATTGTAACAATCAACTTTTTCGCCCCGACCATTTTTTTTTAATTTCTTGGATGATTCTGAACAAAATAAGTTTCTTGTAATTATTCTGTAAACTTGATCGTTTTCTAGGTAAAAAAAATTAAAACTAAGAAAAACAAGTAAAAAAGAAGAAATATTAGAAAAAGAAACAAGACTGCAGGCTTACATCAGTGTAAAGGGAAATATTGTGCCTGGCAAAACTTTTGTGGCTAAAGACTGTAAATGTTTAAAAAATGTCATGCATTTTTCTGCCATAGATTTGACATTATGTAGCCAATAATTATGAACTTATCTCTTATGGAATAATTTAGAATGACTACATGACAGTGATTATTTCCTCATTCATGTAACTTTAAATAAATCTCAATCTTCTAAATTTCCAATATATCAATCTTGGAAATTAAGGTGTTGTCGCGCGGCCGTAGCATCCTCTCCGTTATCCGGAGTTCCTGGACGCTCAGCGGCCGCCGTTCTTGAAGATGATCTCGTATTACGATGATCCATCTTCGTATGGGAGTTGGTACGTGTAAGAAGCAATAAGCTTCTGCTTCTGCAATATTGCTCTGCAATAAGCGAGGTGACACCGGCAAACAGAATTCTCTAACAGTTCAAGCTTTCTTACAATGATAAATATATTTCTTACAACGACAATATGTGTTAGAGTTCTGTTGCGTGGTATATGCCTCAAAATTGTAGAGATGTCGGTTTCCTTCTCATCAGGAATCGCCGCGTTCTGTCTCCTAGAAAGAGGCACAAAAATACCCGTTGTATCGGCTCTGCAATAGCCCGTCGCTTTGTACACTACCTTTCGCACTATCAGATTTACCAGTGTTTACTAATTACTGTAAAATGCATAAGGTTCAAAGTGTCGAAGCGTCGTCGTGGCTTGACTCGGAGCGGTGAAATCGAATGTAAGTCTCCGTTGAGACTTTTCCTCGTTTTTACCGTCGTCCGATAAATCGTCGGTGTCAGTTCGACGCAATTTGTAATAGTTCTAAAACTACTGTTTTTCTATTTCAAAAAGCGTATGTTTCTGACAGGGAGTTATCCTACAGCTGATACTTGGCTTTTCGTGCACTGTGGTATAATAGCAGACGACGAATGATGTCTTAGGATATCTTCGACGTCTGGGTTGGAAATAATCGCTGATTTTCGAAGTCGGTGCAATCGTTTTTATTCGACGTAAGGACGACTTTGGTTATTTGGATTAATAATGAAACAACAGTTTTACTAGGAAGTACCACTAACCAACAAGGTCTAGTAGGGCTCGAAGTGTCTGACGACTGAAGTCCCGATCGGAAGGTTCTCTGCTCTTTTATACGTTTAGTAATTGAGAACTCGCAGCGCTCTTCCGCCGAGAGGCCAATGACAGCGAAGTTAATAACGAGCGCTGTGATTGGCCGGCCAAAGTAACAATCTTTGTCGAGATTATGTATTTTGGCGACAGTGTGCCAACTGGAATTCCTATCAGATCGACATAAAAAAAATTTGAAAATTTCCAATTAAGCAATGACAAACTCTGACATTAGGTCCTTAAACAATATCATAACAGAAGCAGCCTTAACTAATATCGGTAAAACTAAAATTTGTAGACCATCAGTGCCTTGGAGAAACAGCGAAATCGCACTAGCTCTATTTATAACAAAACACGCGATATGGCATGTCAAAAAAAGCATGGGAAAATTATATCTCTTCTATAAATTCATCGACCCCTTCAGCTGTCATTTGGTCTAAAATTCGTAAACTCAAAAGTTCCAACTCTTTTAGACCAATAAATACCTTAACTCTTGGTCAAACACTTCTTCTTCTTCGGGTTCCTTCTCCTAGCGGAGGTTGGAAATCATCATCGCTATTTTAACTTTGTTGGCCGCATTTCTGAATAATTCTAATGAGCTGCAGCCGAACCACTCTCTCAAATTTCTTAGCCAGGACATTTTGCGTCGTCCTGGGTTTCTCTTCCCTTGTATCTTCCCTTGCATAATCAACCTCAGTAATACGTACTTCTCACCCCTCATTAAATGTCCCAGATATTGAATCTTTCTAATTTTAACAGTTTTTATGACTTCACATTCTTTCTTCATTCTTTGTAACAACACACATTTTGGTCAAACACTAATTACTTGTAAACGCAGAAAATAAAACACAAGGAAACTATAAACTCCTTTATAAATAGAATAAAAACAGATCTCGGTATTCAATTGACCTAACTTTAAATAATTTATCATTAAAACAATCAGAAGAAGTTAATTTTCTAGGTTTAACCTTTACCATAACCTTAAATTGAAACTTGCATCTCAACAAACTACAACATTCCTGTCATTCTAGGTTAAATATACTCAAAATTAAGTCTAATAAAGTTTGGGGCACAGATACTAAAATATTAAAAGCTTATATAAATCGCTCATTAGGAGTAAACTAGATTACGGTTGCATTTGTAATAACGCTGCAAGTAAAACTACCTTAAAAAAGCTTAACAATAGTCAACCTACAGCTTTGAGATTTTCACTTGGTGCATTTAGAACTAGTCTCACTAGTATTCTACTTGTTCTACCTAAAGAGCCACCTCTAAACATAAGACGACAACAATTATCACTAAACTACATTGCCAAGATTTCAATTCAAAGCAACATTCTCTTTTTTCTCAAATTTTGAGAACTTGAACTTAGTGGCCGATGCAGCCTGAAGTGTTGGGGATAATTTAACTACTAGTCGGTCAAATCTTTATAAGTCGAAGTTATACATGGTTGAGGATTTAAATTTGACTTTTCTCTTTTGTTATTAATTTTAGACCATGGCAACCTGTTCCAAGTGAAAGTTCCATCTTTATGTCAAAGATACCATTCAAAAAGCCATTGTAGGTAAAAGAAGAATACAAGAAGTTTGTAGAAGGTACAATATTCCTAGGTTTACGGTAGAAGATCGTATTAAATTAGAGTTGGAGAAAACTAAAAGATGGGTCCTGATCCACGTTTAACAGGATCCAGGAGAAGGTACAATATTCCTAGGTCTACGGTACAGGATCGTATTAAATTAGAGTTGGAGAAAAGTGGAAGATGGGTTCCGATCCAGGTTTAACAGGATCCAGGAGAAGGAGAAAACAATTGTACAGAGGATGAACAGTTTAGCCAAATGTGGGTTCCGCTGAAAAGGAAGGAGTTACTTTTAACCTCACAGAAAATTATTAAAGAAGGAAATTTAAAAGACATCCAGAAATTACAATAAAAATGCCAGAACTCATTAATAAAGCTAAGTAAATTTTATCTGAACATAACCGTAAAATAGTTTCGAAACACAATTCAGATTTCTGCTTTAATCTGTGCTTTCTAAAAATTGCAAAACAAAACAGACGTTGATGAAGGTGTTAAAAGAGACATGGGGAATCTAAAATTTGCCTTCCACGACACGTCTTTTCAACTAAGCAGAAATCCTTAGCGAATTGGTTTCTTGTACTCGTACAGAGTAGATCCGAATAAAATGAAAAAGACAAGGTTTAGATATCTGGGAATATATGTAACTAGTTACGGAGATGTTGACGAAGAAGTACGACAACAAAGCTTAAAAGCAAGTAAAGCGGCGGGATCTTTTAATGACACAATCTGGAAGAACAAACACCTAAGACAAGACACAAAAACAAGAATTTATAAAGCAGCAATTAGATCTGTATCAACCTACACGGCGAAAACAAGACCTGACACATCTAAAACGAGACGACTACTAGAAACAATAGAGATGAAAATACTTCGACGAATATCAGGGAAAAGTCTGTTGGATAGGGAGGGAAGCGAAAACATAAAAAGAGCATGCACTATAGAAGACATAAATGGATGGGTGATAAAACGAAAATATGAGTGAAATGAACACATCAGTAGAATGTCGGAGGATAGAATAGTACGAATAGCACCAAATACGTTACCAAATGGACGAAGAAGTATTGGTAGACCAAGAAAAAGATGGTGTGACAATTTAAACAATTTAGGAGGCGAAAATTGAAGAAGAAACAGGCTTTGAAGTCTGCATACAAGACGGAAGAAGAAGAAGAAATTTATAATATATGGTTGCTAAAATTATCCAAAAACTTGAGAAAATTATTCAATCTATGCATTAAAAAATTTGTATTAAAAAATTCCAACATTTTAGAGTTCTACAGTGATTCGAAATTGACATTGAAGAAAACTAGTGGACCACACATTTCCAATGTAACTAGTTTGTATATCACAAGAGATGCTAAATATAAAAAACAAGTATTAACTTAACTGTAATACGTTTGATATAACAAAAAACACATAAAACAAATAGGAGTATTGTAGTTGGTCTGGTATCAAAAAACAGAAACCTGCACGACTTAATAGTATGCACAAAATCATAGTAAAATCATAAAAAACAAAAACTTAAATAAAAAATTATAAATTTTTCCAAAAGAAAATTTCTATCTATTTTAAAATCAAATATCCACATAATATGTGTCAATATTCTAATATTTTCAATTAGTTTGAAATAAAATTCGACTTACTTCTGGCCGGCTGAACTGAACGAAGACAAGGAGAAGGAGTGTCCCAAGCATGACGGAAGTTTAAAACGTGTTAAAATGTTATCGTTCTGTTGGAGGATAAAATAAAAGTGAGCTTTGAAATTCTCAGAAATATAGTTTATTCCATCAGGTAGTCGCAAAACTGAGCAAAAACTAGCTACAATGGTCATTAAAAACAGA